TTCGACCTATCTGTCTACTCTGACTCTGACTGGGCCAATGATAAAGATGATCGCAAGTCTACCACGGGCTACATACTCCTACTCGGTCCTAATATCATCTCTTGGTGCACGAAAAAGCAGACTCGTGTTTCTAGATCATCCACTGAAGCTGAATATCGAGCTATGGCTGCAGGGGTTGCAGAAGCTATGTGGCTTCGATATATCACTGATGCACTGGGTATTCCTCCGTCCAAACCGAAGTTATACTGTGACAATGAGTCGACTATCTGTGTCACCGAAAATCCGGTTCTTCATGATCGCATGAAGCATGTGGGCAAAGACTGTCACTTTGTACGAGATGAGGTTATGGCAGGCACTATGACTCCACATCATGTTTCCTCCTCAGAGCAGCTAGCAGACATTCTTACCAAACCGCTTCCGCCAGTTCCTTTTGAGTACTTATGTTCCAAGCTGCCCCTCGTCTCCGTTGATCAGCTTGCGGGGGGATATTAGGAAGTATAATTAAATTAGGATACTTTTTTCCTTTCCTACTAGGATTATTCTTTCCTTTCCTACTTGTACTTTGATTACTCTTGTATTCCCTATATATAGGTTCATATCTCTCAATATTCAATAAGACAAGTTATTATCAAATTGTATCAGTTATTATCCAACACTTGTTGCTAATGAGAACATACAATATGGCAGATTATATGGAATTATGGGTCATAGAGGAATAAAACATACTTGGTCCCTTAGTCCTAGCTATATGCAGCAATTTTTTTTATTCACTAACCTGTCGCACTCTTTCACACTCATTCTAGCTGCTAGAATCCCAAGTACCTTAGTGGTAGCTCTCCCATGGAAAGGTTAGTCAAGTTTAACAATTTCTCTCGTGTCTTCTCGCCCACACCCCCAAAAACAATGTGGTTGGGTATTTTTTTAATTTTAACTTTTTACTATTAAAATTAACAAACTTTGATTACTAATTAAGTAAAATTGATATTATATTTTTTTAGCTCAAATGGATATTAGATATTGATACAAAAGTAACTTTGTTAATTTTATTTTATCAAGTATTTTCAAAATAAATTTTATTTAATTCATATATCATATAACTTTTATTTAATTATATGTCAAAGGTTGAGCCGTAGAAAGAAGGGGAATACCATCCCCTCGAACAAAGGAGAAGGACGCGTGTTACCCATTAGGAGTGGTTCGAATTTGGTAGTTCCGTTTTCACCTAAAACCAAAGACAAAACGGAAGGTAAGTTGGCAATTTAGTTCAGTTCGGTTTCGCATAAAAAATATATAAACTGTCGGTTATTAGATTTGGTTTTATGTGGTTTTTATTTCGTTTTTTCGATTTTTAAAAATTGAATTTCTAAGCATTAAAAGGTTGTAAAAATACTAACTCGATGAAGCAATAGCAATATGTAGGATTGGCTTCAGTTTTTTTGGTTTGATTTTTACACAAAATTAGTTATTGATGTTTATATTTCTAGTTTTTTTAAAGGGTATAATATGGTTTAAAATGTTTAGTAGTTAAGAAAAATAAATTTAATCGACTAATCAATTATTTTTATTTATATTTTTATGATATTTTTTGCATATCACATATACTCATATAAATAAGGCGAAGTGCCAAAGAAAGTCCGATTTTTTTGGTTTTGTTCAGTTTCTCGAAGTGAAAAAATAAAACGGACACCAAATAAGAACAATTTGGTTTTTTTACATTTGGTTTTGATTTTTTTGGTTCAGTTTTTTTCTAGCTCGTTTCGATCGGTTTCGGTTTTCATTGCTTCATAAAGCTCATTTAAGCCTTCGTCGGTTCACCTTCATCAGCCTTCTTCACACTCATTTAAACCTTCGTCCTTCCCTACCCTTCGTTACTTTTAAATTTTAGTTTTTAGTTTTTTTTCAATTCAAGTTTTTTTGGGGGGGTTTGGTTATGAAATATTTAAAAAACTAAGAAAAATAAGTTTAATGAAATTTTAAACTAATTATGCGCGTTTAATTTTTTACTTTGAACTTCTCAATTAGTATTAACGAAATTTTTACTTTATATTTTTTGTTTAAATTAAGTAAATTAAATGTAAAAATAATAATCCCCATCCCGAATTTTTCTTCACATTTACTTTTATTGGCCGAAGTTTGTAAATTTTGACTCTGATATGCAGAAAAAAATACATTGTGTTATGAGGTAAATGTAATACTAATAGATTTATTTTAGAACATAATTTTTTAAATATATTATTTATAAAATATATTTATGCATAGATATAGCCGGTGATGCCTTGGATAATGCTCAATCAACCAGCGGTCCTAAGGCCCCGTTCTGTTCAACTTATTTTTTCTTATTTTTTCTTATTCTTATTAAAATCAGATCAGATCAGACCAGACCAAATCAGATCAGATCGAATCAGATCATATCAGATCGAATCAGATCAGATCAGATCCAATTAGATCAGATCAGATCCAATCAGATCAGATCAAATCAGGACTTATTAAAATCAGATCTCATCAAGAATTATTATTATTATTATTATTATTATTATTATTACTATCATCATCATCATCATCATCATCATCATCATCATCATCATTATTGTTCTTAAAAATGAAAAAGAATAAACTTTACAAATATGTTAAATAGAAAACTGAGAAAGTAATCCTTAATTATTAGACGTCGGAAAAATTAGTTTTAAAATACATTGACAATGTCAATTTAATATACTTTTAAAATATATTTTTATTGCTACTTGTAATTTGAGTTTCTAAACTTTTGATCTTTTATAAGGATGAGATATTTTAATAAAAATACTATCTCTTCTATATACTGATTATCTAAATTTAATTACTTTTTAATGTATATCTAAATTAAATATTTATTATAATGTATAATTCTAATTTTACCACTAAAATTATCATAAAATAAAAAATATTATTACATTATCATATGAATGATTATTCTAATATATGAATTAACTATTTTTATTTTATTAAAAAATAATCATTAAATAAAAAATATTGATTATATTATAATATGAATTATCATTACAATTTTCAAACGTTATTATAAAGTCAAATTAAATAATTAATTTGAAATTTTAAATTAAATCATAATTAATCAGATCAGACCAGATCAGATCNAAAAAAATTATCATAAAATAAAAAATATTATTACATTATCATATGAATGATTATTCTAATATATGAATTAACTATTTTTATTTTATTAAAAAATAATCATTAAATAAAAAATATTGATTATATTATAATATGAATTATCATTACAATTTTCAAACGTTATTATAAAGTCAAATTAAATAATTAATTTGAAATTTTAAATTAAATCATAATTAATCAGATCAGACCAAATCAGATCCAATCAGATCAGATCAAATCAGATCCAATCAGACCAGATCAGATTCAATCAGATCAGATCAAATTAGATCAGATCCAATCAGATCAGATCAGACCAGATCAGATCAGAACTTATTATAATCAGATCAGATCAGAAAAAATAAGTTGAACGGAACGGAGCCTAAGTCCTAACCAGGAGAACCCCTAGGCGGTGGTTGCTATATTGATGCTCGAAGTTCTAATTACATTTGAAAGCATGAAAAGTCAAATATGATGAAAAAATAAATCTTTTTATTTAAATGCTAGAAAAATATTGATCGTTTTGCTCGCCCATTAACTTTGCATAAAAAATGGTAAGTGTGCATTACCGATGGTAAGTGTGAATTGAACAAAAAATACGTGGGTCAATTGGTATCCCGTATTTAGTTATACAAAAATATTTTGTGCATTCATTATTTTAATAACTAATTTTTAACGAATATATTTATAACGAATATATTCCTACTTATACGTATAAACGAATAAAATATGCCCGGGTCGTAAGTAATATAATTTCCTTATGATAGCTTAGTTGAGTTTGCTAACTGAATTGCGAGTATGCCGACGAAATTGCAAGAGATGAGCATGATGGCCATCCTAAAGTAACGATACTTGATGATATGTTACTTAAATCTTCACGAAATCCTATAGGTACTATAGTGAATTTAGCTTATCCAGACTTTCATAAAATATCCAATGATCTAAGCTATTTGCAACACCATGCGATTTTAGCTCCAACACTAGATGTCATCGATTCTAGAAATAAATATATGACATCATTGAACCCGAGCAGCAAATCTTGAACATATCTTACTTCTGACAAGGTTGAGAACTCAAACTCTAATTCAAGTATTTGAGTGACTTACATTCTCCCGAGTTCTTAAATAAGATTCGTGCTTCTGGAGTACCAAATCACGAGCTAACTTTGAAGGTAGACAAACCTATTATTTTTCTAAGAAACGTTTATCATTCAATGGATTTATGTAATGATACTCAATTGGCTAATCACGTAATACAAGAAAAGATACTATCTAAAAGACACATAGGTGAAGAAGTTGTTATTACAAGGCTATCATTGACCACATCTCATGTAACAATTCAATTATTCAAGTTTTAAAAAAACAACTTCATGTGGTTACTTCATATGCAATGGCAATTAATAAGAGTCAAGACAATCTCTAAAAATGTAAGATTATTGTTACTGAAATCGGCCTTTCATGGATAGCTATATATATAGTGGTTTCAAGAGTAAGAAATCGAAATGACATGAATATTCTTATATACAACGCAGAGGATACCAAAAATTGTCCTAATAATGTAATATGTAAAGAAGTTTTTCAAAATTTGCAATTCATTTGATATTCATGCTTTAAAGCTTTATATTCCATTATATAGTTTATTTCTATACTTCAATAATGACACCAATATAATTTCATAATGTAAATACGAGTCATGCAACGCACGAATGTTATACTAGTTAGACAGAAAAGTGGAAGGCAAACTGGAAAAGAATGGGAACCACACTCCTCAAAGGGGATGAAAACAGAGAGTAAGGAAAAGATGATGTGGCATTGCGTTTATAATTGGGAAGAAGAAGAGAAAAATCATACCCCATATCCTTACTTAGTTACATAGGCTCCGTTTCGTTCAACTTATTTATTATGATCTGATCTAATTTTTTGTAGTTCTGATCTAATTTGGTCTGATCTAATCTGATCTGATTGGATCTGATCTGATTAGGTCTGAACTGATTGGATCTCATCTGATCTAATCTGATCTGATTGGATCTGATCTGATTAATTATGATTTGATTTAAAATTCAAATCAATAATTTGATTTGACTTTATAATAACGTTTGAAAATTGTAATGATAATTCATATTATTATATAATCAATATTTTTTATTTTATTATTTTTTTTAATAAAATAAAATTACGTAATTCATATATTAGAATAATCATTCATATTATAATGTAATAATATTTTTTATTTTATGATTTTTTTTTTGAAATTAGAATATTAATTTAATATTTTAATAATTACTTCATATATACATTAGAATAAATTTGTAATTTATATATACATTAAATACGTACGTCTAATAAGTAAGGATTACTTTCTAAGTTTTCTATTTAACTTGTTTCTAAAGTTTATTCTTTTTCATTTTTAATAATAATAATAATAACAATAACAATAATAATAATAATAATAATAATAATAATAATAATAATAATAATTCTTGATGGGATCTGATCTGATCTGGTCTCATCTGATTGGATCTAATCTGATCTGATTGGATCTGATCTGATCTGATTGGATCTGATCTGATCTGATTGGATCTGATCTGATTTGCTTGGATCTGATCTGATTCGATCTGATCTGATCCGATTCGATCTGATCTGATCTGATTTTAATAATAATAAGAAAAAATAAGTTGATCGAAACGGGGCCTTAGCCTAGTCAAACTTTCCTTCCCCTTAATTTTTTTATTAAGGTTTGTAAAATTTCATAAATATATACTCCCTCCGTCCCAGAAAACCCTTCTCCTTTCTTTTTTCATCCGTCCCAAAAAACACTTCTCATTTCTATTAAAAAGTCACGTTTACCCCTTACTTTTTCCTACCCTACCTATCACATCATACCTTTTTACTAATAATCTATCCATCAAATCATACTTTTACCCATCACATCAAAAGACATTTTTGAAAATTCAATACCAAAAAACACTCTCCTTAAATCCCCTTCAAAATCAAAACTCTCATGTTTTCCCGGACGGTGGGAGTATAATGAAAGGAAATAAGAATGGTGCATTTTTGTTTACCATGGTGCATTTTACAAAGCTGCAGGTAGTACACCATGGTGCATTTTACAAAATAGATAGTGCATTATACAAAGTTTGATTTTATTACAAAATTACCACCATATTTTTCTTGATGTTTTTTTAATTTTCAAATTTTTATGGCTCTTAGATCTCACATTTTAAAGCACATCTCGCATTCTTGTTTCCTTCTTAAGATCTCATTCTCACAAGATAATGAGATATATATGTGTGTGTGTGTATTCTTGTTTTTTCTCAGATTTCCTTTCTTTTCTTCCTTAGTAGCCCCCACTTCCACTATTTTTTTGAAAAGAAAGAGTAGAGATGAATAAAAAAGAAAAAAGGATAAAGTCAAAATAAAAAATTAGAAATATATAAAATTGTAATTACGTCCGAAATAACCTGATAGTAAGTAGTAACCTATACATTGGCTCCAACTGCTCCAAGTAATTTTGTGAAATATTTTCGAAAGTTGAGGTACCATCAAAAAAATTCTCCTAAACATTTAACATGTAATGAAAAGAAAATTTACGGACAAAATAAAATATATTAAATGCCGTAATAAATGAGATGTAAAGAAATTTTGAAACCAAAGGAGTACAACAATTACAGCATTACCATTCACCCTAAAGTTCACCTTTACAACTCTAAAGTAGATGAAGTTAGGATTACGACATTCTAATGATACGAGTTGTATCGAAATAGAGAAGACTTCGAGCGTCTCCAAGCTCCAGAAAAGGGGACGAAGGAAGAGAGAGAAAATCGTGCGGAGAACCGTACGCCCAAGGTGAAGAGAGCTAGGGTTTAGTTAATACTTCTTGTTATTCATTAAGGAAGAATACCTTCCCTATTTATAGGAGACAAAGAAGCATTAATCCTAATTAAACTATGTTTGCTATCCTGACGGTTCAAGAAAAGCGACGAGGTAAAGAACCGTAAAGAAACCCTCGAAGGAGCATT